CATGTCCACGTGCATGAAGTGTGTATTTCAGCCTGTGTGTGTGTGTGTGTATAAAAAAGAGTGAAAAAAACAATTTCCCCCTAGAGGATCAATAAAGTATATCTATCTAGAAATCTATAAAACTTCTGAATTCATAATTTGATGTGAGTAAAAATACTAATACTAAAAGTACCAAAAGCTAAAGTACTCATTATGCAGAATGGCCAATTTCAGAATTATATGGATTATGAATATTGATGCTTTATGAATATTGATGCTTTGATGTGTTCATGACTTTAATGTTGCAGCTGTAAAGCTGGAGCTAATTTAATTATTTAGCTTGACCCCCGAGGATCAATATAGTTTTACTTCATCTTAACTTGCAATAATACATCATTATCATTTATTTGTTGATTATATTTTGCATTATTAATATGAATCTGCAAAGTAACTGAAGGTAAATAAACTCAAAGAAAGCACAAGTAACCTCAAATGTATCCCAAATAACAGTACATGAGCGAATATGCTTGCTTACTTTCTACCACTGCCTATGATTAATACGTCACACAAGTTGTCTTAGCTGAGCTTGAGTCCTGGTTGTGCTGCACATCGGCCTTTAAAACCAAATGAATTCATGACAGGTTTACTACCTCAGACAGATGATTGAACATAATACTCTTTCGTTTAAAGCCAACATAATAAAACTATAAATAGTTTACTGTCCTACCGATTTAAGTAGGTCGAGAAGATTCTGTGGATATGTGCTCTGTATTGCTTGACCTACATGCTTGCAGATAGAGTAGGACCATAAACACCTTATATCATTTACAGAATGCAGCAGCCCAGGAGCCAAACCATGCACTGTATTTATTGCTATGTGCTGCATGTGTAGTGCCAAGTCATGCAACACACTTTAACACACTGTCTTGACAATTCAGAATCAGTCTGAAGGTTTGTTTTTTCTTTTGTGCTTCTTCTAAAGCTAACTTATTTTTTAGTTGATGCATTTAATGAATAAGAAACTGCATTAAGTAGTTTTTGATAACTTGTGAATTGTTTCACTTCCTCCACTCCTTATGTTTCTTTAGTCGTATGAGCAAATGCAAGACTTTGTTATTGCCTCCATCTAGTGGTTGGTTTCTGTATTACATCCGTTCAGCTGGTCAGCTAAATTCACCCTGACTTCTCCAGCTAATACACCCCTAACAGTGGCATGTTCCAGGACAAGAAGTCAATAATGGTATACTTAGAACTATATATTGTGGGCTGTTATCATGTTTTAATATTGGATGCATGGTAGTCTGTTATATGAAAGGATTTGGATATATTGGGGGATGATTTGAAATCCTGTTGTATAACAAGATAACACTTTGGTAACTTGAAAATTTTCAATTAAATGTTCAGTTAAAATGTAAATACATTTTACACAAAAAAAAAGCCCTACAACTGCTACTTCTTTTACTTACTCAGTACCCGCAGCTGGGCTCTGCTTTTTGCTTTCCCAGAGGTGAACTCCACCTCTCCATTCATGTCCGGGGAGGTTTGTCTGAGGGTCAGCCTGTGCACTGTGCCCATCTTCTCCAGGCGTACCCGAGAGCTCGACTGTAAGGGCTCCCCATTCAGACTCCACACAGGTGCTTTGAGGACAGGGACCGAGACCTCACATTCAAAGCAGGCTTCATCAGGGGCCATGACCTCCACATCCTTCAGCTCTTGGACCATTAACAGAGACTCGGCTGAGTCAGTGCACAAAGGAGAGGGTTAACCTATTAGCTTACAACACGTTATCTTAACAGTTAACAGTTAACTTAAGTATTCTTAAGAGTAACAAACCCACTCCCAAACCCACATTTTTGTGAAACCTGACTCATTCCCAGCTAACCTTTAACTACCTTTATTTCTTGCCTTAAGGTATAGTGCCTACACGTCTTACCCAGGAATATACAGTACAGTCATATACACGTAATAGACATTTTTCTCTGAAGAGATGTTGACTTGTCGTAGTGGGAAAATATTGATATTTTCCTACTGTGGCATATCAATGAAAAATGACTGTTGCTATTTTTAAGGTCAGGTTAGGTTTGAATCAGACCTGCAATTAGAACCCATGTAAGTGATATAGATTCAAGTTGAATCTACTATGTGAGGGGCTACCAACTATGAACAGCCCCTTTAACCCAACAAATGTTTGAGAAATAAATGACAATAATGTTGCAAATGGTCACTTTATATTTAAACAAGGCCAGAATGAAAGAAAAATGGGGATGTGAAAAAAGGGTGCTACATTTTGTGTAAATGCCTGGGGTCTCATTTATAAAACGTGGGATCGTTACTAAAAGTGT